GTTTACTTGCATTTGCAAATGGCAAAATAAATAAATTGCACTGTGTGTTCTTTAGTTGAACCATTCTTTCCTGGGAAGTCCAGAGCACACCAAATAATGCTAGAAGGCAGAAATGACAAGAAAGAACAAAGACACATTCATTTAGCACAAAATAAATATGTTGAGAATGGAATTACTCGATGCTTGAAAGAATATAAACCCACATTTTTAATTCTTTATGTAACAGTGACAGCAGCCTGAGTAATTAACAAGAGGAAGTAATTGCTTTAAATTAGTATAAACTACACACTCGATTTTACTAATAAAACATAGTGGGAACATTTATTTTACTAGATTTTTAATAATAAATCATATCTAAAACTGAGCAAAAGAAAATAACTAAAAACATGTTAACTGGGAAAACAATTTAAATATTAGGTATTAGATAGGTTTGGTTAGGAAAAAAAATCACAGAACTATCAGAGGAAAAGAATTGCTATTTTCAATTAATTGAAGAGAATTCATTGGAGGTGGGGTAGACCAGGCTATGGTAGTTTATATACCTTAGATATCTAAATCCAACTCTCCCCATATCTGAGGGACTGCTGTGGTCACCAGCTGCTGGACTAGGCTACACTGACAGTTTTAACTCTTGACACTTTTCAGTCTCTACGAATAAACCTTGCCTGAAGCAAGTGCAGGTCCAAGTCCTGCCTCCTGGAGGAAGGACCCAGCCACTGGCCTGAGCAGTCAGTCTTCAACATTCAGTCTTTTTTTCACAGCAGTATTTATACACAGTAAAACAATATTAAGGGAAGCCTGAAGAAAGCTCATTGTGAACAACTTTGTGAATTGAATGTTGGGTGGTATTCTAAGAAATGGGAGAAAATCTCTGGCAATAAGGGAGTGGGGAAAACAAAAGCTTTAGTCTTCTATTCTCATTTTCAGACTGGTTTGTGTAGCCTTTCTTATAAATTAATTAGGATGGACTGAGTGGGAAGAGGGATGGGGAAATTGTACACTTTATTTCTGAACTGGTTTCCAAGTCACTCAGAGCTTAGAAGCAAAGCAAGGACTGAAAGGATGGGATTTCACACCACCAAGACAATTCATGGAGATCAATTTGGCTTCTTAAATTCTTTCCCACAACATCTGCTGCTCACCACTCCTAGTCCTTGACTTGTAAGTCCATCTCTGACCTCTACTTCATGCCAAATGTCCTTCATTTTATAATTGTAGACAGGGCTATTGTCTGTCCACAATAATTTGTCTCAGCTTGGGAAGAGAGTAAGAAAATATGGGAAGACACATAACTGCTTCCAGAACTACACTCCTTTCTATACTTATTTTCCTAAGAGCCATCAGTCAGATCCTCACTCTGAGGATAGCAAAGTCCATGAAACTAGGACTGCCACCCTAAACTTAAGTACTCTTTTGCAAATATTTGTCATGTGGGGAAGAGCACGGTCAGCTTCACTATTTTAGAGAGAAATTTTGCATGATCAGAAAAATTACATTCTGTTCCAAAGCAACTGCATGCCAGGTTTACAGCTGAACTCATTTTTGAGCTATCCAAACAAGGAGGAAAAGGAAATACATATCCCAAAAATGTTTTAATAATGGAAAATTATGTTCAGGGTCTGAATAACTTAAAAAACTTTTGTGAATTCTGAAAAGAAAAAGTCACTTAAAAGCATAGGGGCCAAATAAAGCATTGAAAATATCAAACTACTGGACAGATTATAAACACATGAAAGTGTTCATTTAAAGCTTTAAAACTGGCCCCATCTCCACCATTATTTCTTTAATGAAATGAGTAAAAGTAGGTTAAGAAACAATTTCTCCCATGTGGATTTTTCCTTTTCAGTTCATTGAGAAATAATTCAGAAGTGCTCTTGTCATGTCAAATGAAAAACTGTTAAGAGTACTTCAAGAAAATATAACTTCATTATTGCAGGCTTGTTATTTGAGTCTTCTAAAGGTTACCTTGCTAACTTTTTACATTGATCTTCCACAATTATAGCCCACATCCTGTTTTATTAGAAACAGCTAAATATTTCAAGAATGCTAAATCATATTTCAATATAATTCTGTGCCTTGACTTCTGAAACTGCTTTGGCTGACTTGTTCAACGTGCAGGTAAAGAAGCAAAGGGAGGAACAGAAGGTGTTGACGGAGTGATTTTACAGAATAAAAGACCATATTGTACCTTGTTATCTCAGGTATTTTTTTTTCAAAGTCTCTCCCCTTCTTTATACTTTGGAATAAGATGACCATGAAAAACAGAGCTTAGCAAAAGAATGTGCATATGAAAAGAAAGACTTTACTGTACCAGTACATCAGTTGAAACTACGCAGTATGTTTGGTATCATGAGGACATGCCTTTCTTTGGAAAAGGTAATTTCATAGGTCAAGCAGGGAAGGTGTAATTTGCTTACCTGTACTTTACAATAACTCTTCTGCCTCTTTGAATAAATGCACAAAGTCAGTTTCTGTTTGCTTGTCTGTTTTTTTTGGGTTTTTTTTTATCAAACCACCATTTATTTTCATTAATGCCAGTTTATACTCTTACACCAACATGAGGAAAAATCTTGAGCTCATCCATATTTTCACCCTTCCCTGAGTCATACAAAAACGGTATATCCAAAGAATATTTCTTATTAATATATTACTTATAAATTATTTATTATTAATATTACTTACAAATTACATGCACTCCAACCAGTGCATGGGAAGACAGAGGAGCTTAAGGCTACAAGCGGAGACCAGAAACAGGTTTCTTTTGTTGGGATTTTTTTCCTGAGCACTATTAGAAACCTTCAAATAAAAAAAGAATGGGAATGAAAAAAAGGCTTAGGCGAAAAACATCTCTCCCCACCCTACGAAAACGGAAAGTGAGTGAGAAAAACACTTTAGAAAAACCAAATGGTTGTGGGGGCATCACAAGTGGTACAATGAAACAGGGAAAACCAAAACTGTTGAAATAGGAAATAGGGGTGGTAACGAGCACCTGCTGGAGTTACAGAGGGTACATTAAAGAGGAAAACGAGCCATGTGTGCATCCCAAGGCTGCCTCCAAAAGTAAAGAATTTCACCTCAGCCTGTGCAACTGCCTGAACTTGAGGACTTTTCTGCAGACCACATCAAGGGACTGCCTGCAACTAGGAGGGGCTCTAGAGTAACACAAGTATCAATATCCAGGGAGTGGCTTCACAGAAAAGAAGAAAGCAAATAGGGCTTCTGTGCTATGGGACTGCAGAATGGAAAGGGCTGACTACTAAGGCTGTGTTCCTAAGAGTTTGGGTGACCCAGTCTGACAGCTGGGGGATATATGCTGATGCACAGCTGGGCCATACTCCACAGATCCAGAAAACAGCTTCTTCCATCCTCAGTTTTGGGGCATTGGGGTGCCCTCTGTTCTCTCTGGCAGTGGCTGTATCTGATGAGCCGCACAACACCCACCTAACCCTCCTGCTGTGGCCCCAGCTGTTCTCTCCTGACTTGAACTGCACATGCCCTCTCACACACCCTGCCTTGCTCAGCACTTCTCTGGTCACCAAGGCAGACATAAGGTCCGTATCTTTTTCTTCCTTTTCAAGCTCCTGACTTTGGGGCAGCAGCTTCCTGCATAATTTACGATGTCACAGTTCGAAGGCCAGGAATGAGGGAGGTTTGCATTCCAAGAGAGCCATTGCTTTCCCATGAAAAGAACGCACAATCCTAACACCGAGAATATGTTTTCTACTACAGACAAATAATTTCCATGATACGTAGTATGTATAAATACCTTATTGCTACCTCTTCCCCTACAACTTTTGCCCTCCATAGCAACATAAAATAATAACAGCCCCTGAAGGAAAACAGCAAAATTTTGTCCATTTTCCTTGTATTTATTCTATGCAGATGGGGATGAGCATTTGTAAAGAATCAGTGCACACCCTTTGAATTACTTGAGATTATCATTATTTAATCCTTTTTCCCTGCCTCAAGTACTTCTGCAGCTTCATTGACCCCACTTTGCTACTGTGGTCAAGCCCCTCTCAGGATAAGTGTGTTCAGTATGTTTTCTCCTAAAAGTCTCGGGCCATTGAAAATCTGAAGATAAAAGCAGAAATACAACTGAAGGACTAAGATTGTACAGCCTACTGTCTGGAGTCCTGCAGGCCCCATGCCTTGATGCCAGCACCATTTCACACTGCATGACTCCTTCACAGTCCAATTAAACCAGAAAGGTAGGAAAGTTTTAGCTTTAGCTCTCTGCTAGATCGAAGTATTATTCTTATTTCACAATAGGAACCAATGCAAAAATACTGAAGTCAAATATGATGTGTATTTTGTAACAACTCTACCTGGAGTTATTAAAATCTTGATTAGTTCCTAAGAATATTTGTCACTATATGTTGATTGTAGTGCAGCCCAAGCTTCTACTCAACTCTGCCACAGCTACATTTGCTCAACTTGTATTCCAATGAGGCTCCTTATTGCACACACAGCTGTGCCAGAACAGCTGGTGGTGGAGGGGGAAAAGAGCCAGCAGCAGAAACTTCTTAAGCTTCTTCAAGGAATCCTGGCCTGAGACCTTCTAAAATAAAAGAAATCTCTACCAGTCACATGCAGTATAATGTGGGGTGTTTTTTTGCCCAAGGGATTCTAAAGCTATGATTGCAGCACTAGAAAAAATAGGGCCTGGAAAAGAGTTTAAGCACTGGACTGCTAATTGCCCATTATGCTTAACTGCAAGCATGTGTCCTGGAAAAGGTTTGGCTCATGTCAGCCCACACTGTCCCAGACAGAATCCAGACCAGGAGATGGTGAGTGTGCAGCCCATTCCAGGAGAGAGCATGCACCAGGCAAACACCAGACCAGCCTCCCCTTTTCCCTCTTCTTATGCCTAGCATCACCATTTTTCACTGCCTTCAGACTCTCCAGGGCATAGGACATGTGTTCTCAGCTTCATACTATGAAAATGTAATTCCAATAACCCTTTTTTTTTTTTCAAGAAAAGAAAGAGCCAACAAAAAAAGCACAGACATACTAACGGTTGTATCTTAGGTCCGTGGAAAGGAAGCAATTGTTTTGTAAAATGGATCAGGTCAGGTCTTGGAACCTGGCCAAAAAGCCAAGAGCCTTCACCTGTTTTATCTGGTGTTATAAACATAGTCCAGCTGCAAGAATCTGGTCTTACCTTCACAGGGGTGGCAGAAGGCACCTGTCACACTAAGGTCACCGTCATTTGGACAATACTGTCAGGCACAAACCTCTCTGTTTGAAACAGACACCCAAGAACATCAGGAGGAATGTCCTTCATAGGTAACAATCTCACCATCAGTAGCTTTACAGTAAATTAGGGTGTTTTTTTTCTTCCCCTTGTTTTTATTTTAAGATGTCAGAATTTAATTATGTTGAAACAGGAAGCATGCTTCATTTAAGTGATGTCAGAATTTCTTTCTTGAACTGTTTCATGGGAAGAATCCTTACTTCTTTTTCTCTGTTTACACTGAAGATTCATGAAGCCAATGTAAACAGCAAAATGAGTGTAAACACCAGGGATTAACTTCAGGAGATTTGAAAGCAACAGGGTTTGCCATAATAAAATCAAGCAAATAGTTAAGCAGCAGGGTTTGCCTTAATAAAATTAAGCAAACAGTTTAGTATTTCTGTATGTCTCTATATATAGTTTAGAGCTGAAGAAGTATGTTCCCCTTATTTAACATTCACCATTTGAGTTTTTTGAGGATTTCCTCAAAAAAGACCCCAGGATAGAATTATGTTGGTGTTAAGCTAATTTATTAACATCAGGAAAAGGACAGCTGGGTTATTGCTTCATTGAACATGCAGACACTCACTGAAGTTGTATTCTCTGCATTGCAATAGAGCAAGATTTTTATACAATACAATAATCTTAAAGGATTGTTGTCTCTTTCTTGTGAGCTGTGCTTTGACTCTAAATGCCTCCTCCTCCTGCTTACTGTGGATGTCCTTTGCTTCCTCTGAGTGTCCTGTAATATTAATGGGGAAATTTCCATGATCCTAATACTAAAATTCCTGGTAATAATTACTTCTAAAAAACAAGGGGGCAAAAAAGAAGAATGTCACTCTGCAAAAAAAAAAATTATATATTATCTTGCCATGATCAATGCCATAACAAATAATTTTGCTTTCTAACAAGCAAAACATAGAAGAGAACATGCAGGTGATGGCGGTTGAATAAAAGTTTAGGAAGAAAATTATTCAGTTTTAAGAGATACCAATGTGGCCAGAGTGACGAGAGCCTCATAAAGCCAAAATACCCTCAGAATGCTTAAAAGTTTCTGCTTGCTGTTTCCAGCCTGAACAAAATGAAGGATTTTAAAGAACTCAGTGCCGGGCTAAAAGAATTCTTGATTGCTTAGGTATAACTGAAGTCTCACCGGGATTTACAAGAAGCACTGACCGCGTGGGTGCTGGAGCTCATGGAAACACCCCTTGTTTCTACTGCCCTCGGCTGATGTGTTTTCCTTTCAGCACCAATGCGGCCGAGCCAGGTAAATACACACCTGCCACCCGAACATCTATCCCACGAGAAATAATGAAAAGGAGGGTAGATTCAAACAACAGCAACGAACAGTATGCATATTGCATCCTGTCAGACTAACTGGGTGTGTCTTTAGGGTGCTGTCACCTTTGTGTTTGCCTGCAGACGTACAGCGAGAAGCCCGGCACCAGCAGACATGGGGGTAAATTTGAGGTTACCCACAGCGGGGCAGTGCAAGCTCCGCACAGAGCAGATCGTGGGCAGGCCGCGGGCATCCCTTTTCCCCGGACAGCCCAAGCCTCGGTGTTCCCAGCGCGCTGCACAGGAAGGATGGAGGCAGGGAATTCTCCTCTTTGGGGGACCCCGACACCTCTTCCCCGCGGGGCCAGGCCGCTGCCCGCCCCCGCCGCAGGACTACAGCTCCCAGCGAGCCTTGCGCCGCCTCCATCTTCCCCCTCACAAACACCGCGCGTAGCGTTCTCGAAACAACGCCTTGTTCAAATAAAACCTGTCGTTCAATAAAACTTTCTCAGAGTGTGCTTTGAGCCTGCACTGAGGCGCGCAGCTGAAATAGATCCTCGAATTAGCCGAATAGCCCTCATGATCTCGTTGGGTTCACTTCGGCAGGAGGCCAGAGTCTGCACTCCCGGGCTGCTGTCTCCCAGAGGAGCTGTAAATCTGCTTTTCTTTCCTGGAGGGGATGTGGTGTCCTGGGAATGTCCTCGACATCCATGCTGGGTCAGCTCATCCCCGCCTTCAGCAATACTCAACAAACCCGGCCGCTGGCCTCTCTCATCACTCATGCCCCTTCACTGTTCCTCAGAATCTGGGACGATGATCCTGAAGATGCTGCCTGACATCGCTGTGCTGCCTGCGATTTCTCCTTGCTCAGACTTGCTGCCTACGAGTGAAAAGCTGTAGTTCAAGCTTTGCTAAATCTCGTATGTCTGTACTGGGCCTTTTGTTTATGTGCTGTACATAACAGGAACAACTCACAACAGGTGCTGCACGGGCAGTATGCACATACACACAACAAACACCGTTTCCAAGTGGCTATTGCTCTTTATTTTTTATTTTGGACAGCCATTTGTGAGTCTTCACAATGGAGAACTCAGTACCTTTGAAAACTCCATATTCTGTATTTTATCTAGAAGTAGGCATTGCCTGGGTATCACAGGTTTTCCATAAACACACCAGCATTTCTCTTCTCTCAGCTCCTTTTGGGTGAATCTTGGTTAAGCACACCTCACATACAGGATTTTGAAAGCCCTGCTAGATGAAGAGCCTTGGCAGGAGATCTGGCAAGGCCAGGGATCTGCAGGCAAGGATTATCTACAGAAAGGTGCCTCAGGGAGATAAGGATACATGTACATGTGCATCTATCCGAGAGTGGGAGCGGGGAGATAGGCAGGGCAACAACTGAACCTCAAGTGCTATGGCAGAGAGCTGTATGTAAGTATTAGGAGACCCAAGTAAAATGACATTTGGGTCAAAAGATTCAAGTAGTAGATTGGATGGGAACCATAAAAATAAGCTGGGGTGAGCTAGGAGAGACTGAGATGAAGAAGAAGCAGAGTCTCCAAGTGGACACCAGTGGGAAGGAAGGAAAAGGAGGAATCTAGGAGGCAGTGTGGAAATACATAAGCTGTTTATGCAGAAGTGGTGTGAGTACTCTTAACACCAGGTTGGAGGCAGGGACACAAGCACAAGTTGGTGTTTCTCCTTCATTTTGTTTCATTGTTGCTGTTTCCCCCCATTTTTAAAGCATTGTAGTCCCTTGGAAGCAGCTTTGTTCTCCAAATATCCAACATAATTTTCTTTATCTTACCAAAAGAAAAAAAAAAGGGGGGGGTACTTAAGTAACACCTCCTGCAACTGACATTGCATCCATGCACTTTTGGAGCCTGTTTTCTAACCTTAGTATCAGTGGGTTATGAACAATTTCAGAGACACTTACTTAATTTTCCCTCTTTTCCATCAATTGGCTTCTCTCACTCCATCCAGTCTTAGCAGCAAGTTTACAGGCTTTTCCTACCATTCCAACTATAAAAAATATGTACGTTTTGAATCAAAAGAAATTGAGTACTCAGTTCATTCTATCCCAAGGAGCAGTCACCTTCTCAGAATCTTGTTTTCTGAGGTGAACCCCTATCACGTTTTACCTTCAGAAACTTTCTGGTAATACAGTAGAACTCCATGTTCTTTTCCATGGCATTCCTTACAGCTTCCAGCTTTGCAATCAGCCTCAGTGACTGGAAATAGAGATATGAGGATTTAAAATACTCTTCCCCTTAGCACAAACTAGTGTATGCTCAGTTGCACAGTCTAGAGTAATCCATCTCCTGAACAGCTTCCACAGAAAAACAAGTTCATAAATGCTAAATAATCACAAATTATCTGGTCTTTCCAGAAGACTGGCTAAGCCCAGGCCTCCCAGCCCTGTTATGGTCTTGCATAAATCAGAAATCCAGGACTGGCATAAAAACTGCAACAGCCTGAGCATCTAATAACATCGTGTGGGAAACTGCAGTGCTCCCCTGACTGAATGAGGTCCCTTCCAGGCATCAGTCAGCATAAACTGGCAAGAAAGTTGTGTATTGATTTTGATTATCTGCACTATATGTGTGCTTGTAGAATCTGAAAATAAACGGTGGATTGGGTTTCTAGTCCCAACACCCTATTTATTTCTGGTTTTATTTTCCTGAAGGAAGGCTGAAAGAACAACGGAGTGCAAAACAAACCTTGCGGGAGGTTACAATGTACACAAAGACATCTTGGGAGTCGGGCGCGGTTCTTCGGTTAGCAAAGAACACGGGAAAGAGGGTGAGGAATGGGAATATCTGCTGATGTTTAGAGGAAGCAGCAGCAGACAGAAGGGCAGATGTTGATCTCGGGGTGCACTTCATCCTCCACTGGTGGGTACAGACCCAGCACACGCCCTGGCTCCCATGGCGCTGGGGCACCGCCGCCACGGCCGGGAGCTCTCGCTCCCTG